TGATGTAAGTTCATCTTTTGTAAAAATTATACCACTCTGATGGGGGATGTTGAGAAAAGGGAGAAGTTATACATGAATGATGTCAGGGCATATATGGGAAATCTCTATATCTTCCATTCAATTTGCTGTAAATCTAAAATTGCCCTAAGAAATAAAGTCAAATTTGTAAAAAGAAAAGGAAAAAAAAATCTGCCAATTTTTGCTGTAAATATTTGGACTTACTGGCATGGGTAAACCGTGGACTACATTACACCCTCTATGATATTGTTGACAAAAATTTCACAGGCCTTTTCTTTAAAAAGCAGCCCATAAATTTTTTGTTGCCATTAGTCCTTCCAGCCCCCTTATGAAACTACAAACTCTTTAATATATTAAAGGCATAAGTAGGTGTGAAATTTGCTCAGTTGTGTCTGACTCTTCGAGACCCGGTGAACTATACAGTCCATGGAATTCTCCAAGCCAGAATACTGGAATGGCTTGCCATTCCAGTATATGCCCTCCTCCAAGGGATCTTTGGAGAAGGCAATGGAACCCCACTCCAGTACTCTTGCCTGGAAAATCCCATGGATGGAGGAGCCTGGTAGGCTGCAGTCCATGAGGTTGCTAAGAGTTGGACATGACTTCATGTTGGAGCGACTTCACTTTCACTTTTCACTTTCATGCGTTGGAGAAGGAAATGGCAACCCACTCCAGTGTTCTTGCTTGGAGAATCCCAGGGACGGGGGAGCCTGGTGGGCTGACATCTGTGGGGTTGCACAGAGTCGGACACAACTGAAGTACTTTAGCAGCAGCAGCAGCTAAGGAATCTTCCCAACCCAGGGATCAAACCCAGGTCTCCTTCATTACAAGCAGATTCTTTGCCAACTGAGCCACCAGGGAAGCCTTAAAGGCATTAAGTCAAGAATATAAACCAATTATGGTGACATCATCATCAAAATATTTTAAGATATTTTTAACAGTAATGTATATGCTATTTTTATTAAAACATAAATTGTAATACTTAGCAACAGACATAACACATACTTTAATTTTGAAGTAATGAGCATAAATATTATTTAAATACAACAGCAAAAACCATAATTTAATAGGAAACGGTGTTATTTCTAATGAAAACAAAATAAGACACTTCAAACAATCATTGCTGAAAATGATAGATTTCAAGTGTGCTGCCCTCCTTTTATTTGCTATGACAAAACAAGTTCTTCACCAAAAAACTGTAATCACTGCTCATCCTGCTTTGAATGGTGTTTTTCTAAAATCAGTAGAACTGATTCCCAATTGCCCTTCACATCTGAGCTTCAGCTTGTGTCCCTCAAAGAGGCTTTCCTTGACTCCGAAACTAAAGCAACAATTCAATTGCTCCCTGTACATGACCCGCCCTAAATCCTCTGCCACTTACTCATTCCTCAGTGAGTTTGGCCTGTCTCTTTCACCTCTATACCTCCAATACTTAGAAAGTTTCCTGGCATGTTGTAGTAACTCAGTGAATATTTGTTGGATGAATAAATGGACAGTTATCTTCCCATTGTGACCTAGAGTTCACAGCTGCTCCCTAAAATTACTACATGACAATCTAAGAAGGCTAATGCATAGTGGGAGGAAAAGAGGAAAATCAGCATGCTCCCATCACGGTCTCCAGCAGAAAACACTCTTTTAGACACGTGTGTTTCATTTTAGACACGTGTGTTTCATTTTTCTTTGCTCTTTACTCCAGCAGCAATGCCCTCCTCCAGATCTCCCCAACCCAGGGATCGAATCCAGGTCTTCCACATTGCAGGTGGATTTTACTTACCATCTAAGCCACCAAGGAATCACAAGAATCCTGAAGTGGAGTGCCATTTTCTCCTCCAGGGAATCTTCCCAATCAAGAGATCGAACCAGCATCTCTTATGTCTCCTGAATTGGCAGGCAGGTTCTTTACCACTAGTGCTACCTGGGAAGCACCTAGTTCACAAAGTTTATCTACGCATAACCTTTTTTTTTCTTTTTTTTTTGGCCTCACCGTTCAGCATACAGGATCTTCCTCAACCAGGGATCGAACCCACAACTCCTGCATTGGGAGCACAGAGCCTTAACCACTGGACCACCAGGGAAACATCATTGACTATCCTGAAAACTTTTACTGTGGAAAATTCTTAAAGAGATGAGAATACCAGACCATCTTACCTGCCTTCTAAGAAACCTGAAAGAAGGTCAAGAAGCAACAGTTAGAACCAGACATTTGGAACAATGGACTGGTTCCAAATTGTGAAAGGAGTACGTCAAGTCTGTATATTGTCACCCTGCTTATTTAACTTATATGAAGAGTACATCATGTGAAATTCTGAGCTGTATGAAGAACAAGCTGGAATCAAATTGCCGGGAGAAGTATCAATAATCTCAGATATACAGATGACACCATACTTATGGCAGAAAACAAAGAACAAAAAAGCCTCTTGATGAAGGTGAAAGAGGAGAGTGAAAAAGCTGGTTTAAAACTCAACATTAAAAAAAACTAAGATCATGGCATCCAGTCCCATCACTTCATAGCAAATATGGAAACAATGACAGACGTTATTTTTTTGAGCTCCAAAATCATTGCAGATGATGACTGTAGCCATGAGATTAAAAGATGTTTGCTCCTTGGAAGAAAAGCAATGACAAACCTAGTTGGCCTATTAAGAAGCAGAGACATTATTTTGCCAACAGAGGTCTGCATAGTCAAATATATGGTTTTTCCAGTAGTCGTGTACAGATGTGAGAACTGAACAGTAAAAAGGGCTGAGCACTGAAGAATAGATGCCTTTGAATTGTGGTGTTGGAGAAGACTCTTGAGAGTCCCTTGAACAGAAGAGAGATCAAACCAGTCAATCCTAAAGGAAATCAACCCTGAATATTCATCAGAAGGACTAATGCTGAAGCTGAAGCTCCAACACTTTGGCCACCTGATGCTAAGAGCTGGCTCACTGGAAAAGACCCTGAAACTGGGAAAATTGAAGGCAGAAAGAGATGGGGATGACAGAGAATGAGATGGTTGTATGGTAGCTCCAACTCAATGGACATGCGTAAGCAAACTTCAGGAGATGTTGAAGGATAGGGAAGCCTGGCATGCTGCAGTTCATGAGGTCTCAAAGAGTCAGACATGACTGAGTGACTGAACAACAAAATCCAAACAATTATATACTAAAAATAGAAATGCTGTGGAATCCACATGTATCTCGACATGTGTTTTCTTTCTTTAATTTGCCTTTTCCTCAAGGGTTTGAAAAAACTACATCAAGAAATAGAAAAACATTAAAACTCGTTGATACCATGATTCCACTTTTATAAAGTTAAAGAAATAACAGTTAATATAAGAAAAACTTTCTGTACATATATGATGGCAGCAGTGTGAGTGATACCAGGAAGGATAAGGTGAATCTAGATAACAATTTGGAAATGGCTAAATAAATAAAGAATATGTACATAGCAAAATAAAAATATATGTGTGAGGCCTCAGTGACTCAGCTGTGTCTGACTCTTTGTGACCCCATGGTCTCTAGCCCACCAGGCACTTCTATCCATAGGATTCTCCAGGCAACAATCAAACTCACATGTCCTTCTTTGACAGGAGGATTGGAAACTCCTCACGACACAACAATAAGCCTCACTCACAACAATAAGCACATCAAAATGTTAATTATCTTTGGTTGGTAGAAATACAGATGCTTTTATCTTTTACTTGCTCCTTTTTAGAACCCTTTGAATTTTCTGAATCTACAGTGTATTATAGTGTAAAAATATATTTGTCAGAGGCAGTATTAAGATGTTTATGGGTCACATCCTTTTCCCTGCTCCATTATTACTGTCATCTTGTTCTGAGATGGTGTGGCCTGAAAGAGATAATAGAAGTCTTGATTTTACATGTTAATTTATACATGGGATTGTTTGGAAGGAGCCCCTGAGGAAGAATGCCAGCAGAGAGTGGCTCTGAGTGGCCAAAAGATGACATCAAAGCAGCTGCTCCACCATGCGTATTAAAACTAAAAAATGTGCCCAAGAGATTCTAGGACAAATGTGATTCTTGCTTTTATATCTTGAAGTTTCTAAACCCTTTTTATTATATCCATTTTATTCACTCTTTAGATCTTTGGTTCCTGAAATTAAGGGGGGGAAAAATCCCTACTTTTTCTCTCTCTTAGTCTGTGTTTAGATGACAGAATCAAAAGTTATCAGAAATGATCTTGAGCAATGCTGAAATCCTGGCCTCTCTGATCCTGTCTGTGTCTTTTATAAAGTTAAAGAAATAACAGTTAATATAAGAAAAACTTTCTGTACATATATGATGGCAGCAGTGTGAGTGATACCAGGAAGGATAAGGTGAATCTAGATAACAATTTGGAAATGGCTAAATAAATAAAGAATATGTACATAGCAAAATAAAAATATATGTGTGAGGCCTCAGTGACTCAGCCGTGTCTGACTCTTTGTGACCCCATGGTCTCTAGCCCACCAGGCACTTCTATCCATAGGATTCTCCAGGCAACAATCAAACTCACATGTCCTTCTTTGACAGGAGGATTGGAAACTCCTCACGACACAACAATAAGCCTCACTCACAACAATAAGCACATCAAAATGTTAATTATCTTTGGTTGGTAGAAATACAGATGCTTTTATCTTTTACTTGCTCCTTTTTAGAACCCTTTGAATTTTCTGAATCTACAGTGTATTATAGTGTAAAAATATATTTGTCAGAGGCAGTATTAAGATGTTTATGGGTCACATCCTTTTCCCTGCTCCATTATTACTGTCATCTTGTTCTGAGATGGTGTGGCCTGAAAGAGATAATAGAAGTCTTGATTTTACATGTTAATTTATACATGGGATTGTTTGGAAGGAGCCCCTGAGGAAGAATGCCAGCAGAGAGTGGCTCTGAGTGGCCAAAAGATGACATCAAAGCAGCTGCTCCACCATGCGTATTAAAACTAAAAAATGTGCCCAAGAGATTCTAGGACAAATGTGATTCTTGCTTTTATATCTTGAAGTTTCTAAACCCTTTTTATTATATCCATTTTATTCACTCTTTAGATCTTTGGTTCCTGAAATTAAGGGGGGGAAAAATCCCTACTTTTTCTCTCTCTTAGTCTGTGTTTAGATGACAGAATCAAAAGTTATCAGAAATGATCTTGAGCAATGCTGAAATCCTGGCCTCTCTGATCCTGTCTGTGTCTTGAGCTCATCTCCAATCATAGCCCCAGAGCTCTTGAGCACTGAGACATATCTTTTGAAGACATCTTGCATTTAGGATGAGTTTATCATTGTTGACTCCTGGTGATTCCTAAGTAGGAAATGGAAAGATGAGAAATTTGAATCAATCCACTGTACTCATCTATGATGAGAAACTATTAAGTCTATACCTAAAATGATATGTAATTATAGATTTTATTTCTGTCTATAAAACTATCCTCAGTCACTGGCAAATGGAAGATGTCAAATTGAGTGAAAGGCTTACATAAAAACCTAAAAAGCTACAGCTCCGATATTTGTAAGATCATCTCTCAAATACCTTCTTCTGTGCACGCTAAGTCACTTCAGTCGTGTCCTACTCTTTGCAACACTATGGACTGTAGCCTGGAAGCTCCTCTGTCCATGGAACTCTCCGGGCAAGAATACTGAAATGGGTTGCCATTCCCTTCTCCAGGGGATCTTCCTGACCCAGGGATTGAACTCAGGTCCCTTGCATTACAGGAAAATTCTTTACTGTCTGAACCACCTGCCTCTAGAAGTGAAGAAAAATGAGTTTTAGTTGATGGAATCAAGTCAATAGATCCCAGTGTAGACTCTGTCTTTAAATCACAGGAAAATTTTTTTTTAAACATAGAATATTCAAATGTACTGAATCACTAGTACTCAGAAGATAGAACTATAACATTTAATTTTTTAAGTCTCCACAGGGGATTCTCTTATGGTCCATTCACAGACTAGTACTTGAGAACTACAGTTCAGTTCAGTTCAGTTCAGTTCAGTCACTCAGTCCTGTCTGACTCTTTGCGACCCCATGAGCTGCAGCACGCCAGGCTTCCCTGTCCTTCACTATCTCCCAGAGTTTGCTCAAACTCATGTCCACTGAGTCGGTGATGCCATCCAACCATCTCATCCTCATCACCCCCTTCTCTTTCCCTCAGCCTTTCCCAGCATCAGGGCCTTTTCCAATGAGTCATTTTTTCGCATTAGGTGACCAAAGTAGTGGAATTTCAGCTTCAGAGGAATAAAGTAAATGATCTTTAACAATCAATCAATTCATTCATTCAATATTTATTGATAAACAAATATATATAAAGAACTGGAAATTCAAAGAGGAGAAGATAAATAGTGCATCTGCCCTCCAATTCTCCATTTGTCTTACCGTCTGCCCTTAGCATAGTCTCTGATGTACAGGAGCCAACGCAGCCAAGCTTGGAGTCATGGAGCAACCCTCAAGAGTGGGAGACGATAACTCATGGATAAGTGATCCAGCTCCTGTCCTTTAGGATGAAAATTCTAGGACCTATTTATTTCCTTCTCAGCAGCTTGTGGCAGAATGGATTCCCACTGCCCACTGTGGTTATCTTTATACTTAAACTGGCTTTGCTTCCTTTTCTGTCTTACTCTCTTTTCTTCCCCACTCCAGCATCCCAGGATTGCTTCCCAAATAAACTGAACCTATGGAATTCTCTGGGCTTCTCTGTTACCTCATCAGGAAAAGAATCCACCTGCAATGTAGGGGACCCAGGCTCAATTCCTGAGTCAGGAAGATCCCCTGGAGATGGGATAGGCTACCTACTCCAGTATTCTTGACTCTTTAAATGAGGACACCCCAAACTGCTCCATGTAATCCATCTTGGCCCCTGTGCCTAGAACCTTGGCAGTGTCCCAGAAATGCTCCCCACTCAGGTGGACCAGATGGTGAAGAATCCACCTGCAATGTGAGATACCTGGGTTTGATCTCTGGGTTGGGACGATCCCCTGGAGAAGGGCATGGAAAGCCCTCCTTGTATTCTTGCCTGGAGAATCCCCAAAGACAGAGGGGCCTGGTGGGCCTCAATCCATGGGGTCGCAAAGAGTCAGACACGACTGAGCACCTAAGCAAAGCACAGCATAGAGTTCTCTCAAGTGTTGCTTTAGGGAGAATCCAAACCAAGGCAAAATTGAGAGGTAAGCCTCTTTTCTTCTTTTGAAGTCCTTCAAGAAGGCATTAAGATATGATAAGATGGTAAAAGGATTCCTTAGGGAAATGCCTGGGACATAAAGAGAGCTGATACACTATGATACAATTCTAACCCCTGTGACTAAGTTTGGGTCAGAAAATTCTTAGACTTAAGACTGATGTGCAACTCTAAGAACATTTTGATAAAGCCAATAAGTTCTTGAGCCAAGGTTGGAGCCAAAGTAGCCCTATATTGCCAGGAATCGGCCTGCCTCACTGTCTCTTCCTGTTAGTTACTGAGAATTATCAGCCATTGAGAAATGTAGACTTCTTGCAAACTCACTGATGAGTTTCTGAAAGAAAAGTATAGACACTTTCAGATACTCTCAAACAAAAATTTTCTAGGCAAGAGTACTGGAGTGGGTTGCCATTTCCTTCTCCAGGGGATCTTCCTGACCCAGGGATCGAACCCAGGTCTCCTGCATTGCGGGCAAACACTTTACCATCTGAGCCACTAGGTAAGCCCCTGAAAGCATCTATATCTATACATATGATCTGTATCTGTATATAGAAAGAGAGAGAGAAAGGGATTTATTATAAGGAATCGTTTTGCATAATTATGGAGGCTGAGAAGCCCTAAGCTCTCCAGGCCATCAGTGAACTAGAGACTCAGGCATGTCAATGATGTAGTTCTCCTTTGAGTCAAAGGCCTGAGAAGTAAAGCAGTTTATTTAAGTTCCAGTCTGAAAATCTGCACACTCTGAACCCCAGAAGAACCAGTGTTTCCATTTGAGACAAAAGGCAGGAAGGGACTAATGTATCAGCTTTATCAGTCAGGCCTTCTGTTGATTAGATGGGACCCACTCACACCAGGAAGGACAATCTTCTTTACTCAGTCTACTGATTCAAATGTTACTATCATCCAGAAACATCTTCACAGACACACCTAGAAAAATGTTTTGCTAAATGTCTGGGCACTCCATGGCCCAATCAAGTTAACACACAAAATTAAGCATTATGCATAGATTTAATTTACTGTTCTGCCTCTGTAGAATCTAAATGAATCCAAGAGAGTGACTATGGAATACAAACTAGTATAGGCTTAACTAAGTAGAAGCCCTGGTTACATCTATTGCACTATATGTGGTGTTATTGCTAGAGTATACTCTTCTTAAGAAACAGTTGCTGGTGTATAACCAGACCCTGATAAAGAGAGAACTTGACCCGTGTATGTGCAAGAAATTCACTTACCACCTGGATCTCATAAGCCCCTATTCTAACTAGGTGACTGTAGTGATGCTTTGGTTCTCTGTGTATGAACTCAGACACCTGGTCTAATCATATTGGGAATGTCTGGATGTTCTTTCCCCAGGTAAAGTCACCCAAGTAAAGAACCACAGGGTCCTTTGATGAAGAACTGGGAGAATCATCACAGAATCTTTTTGCCATGGTGTTTTATGTTGCTTTCTCTTAGTGAAACAACCACCTCTTCTGTCAGTTAGTTCTGGACTTGAAAATTGACTTACTTCTATGGTCTAAGCAAGAGATTACCACTTTTTATCACTTCAGTCTCCTGTTCCTCCATTCTTGCATTTTTTTTTTTTTAAGTTATTGATGCTAACCTTAAGAAAATACTTGGCCCTCTACAAGAAAGTAGGGACACCAAGTTCTACTGGGCTCTTCGCAGATGGCTCAGTTGTAAAGAATTCACCTACCAATGCAGGAGATAGACACAAGAGACACAGGAGACTCAGGTTCGATCCCTGGGTCTGGAAGATCCCCTGGAATAGGAAATGGCAACTCACTCCAGTAGTCTTGTCTGAAAAATCCCATGGACAGATCAGCCTGGTGGGCTACAGTCGACAAGGTCACAAAGAGTCAGGCATGACTGAGCACATATGCACAGCAAGAGGACATACCCACAACTCTGTGTGAGTCAGCAAAGCCCACTGATGTCCTCTCCAACTTGTTGGTCATTACAGAAATTGTTAGAGAGTTATGCACCAACATTTGGCCTCCATTACTTTGGGACCTCATCATCTCTGTGGATGTGAATGATCCCATGTCTGTAACTGCTTTCCGTACCATCAGCCCCGACCTGCAAAGCATCACAGACTCAGTGGACCTGAATTTGAGCAAACTTGAGAAGATAGTGGAGGACAGGGGAACCTCGCATGCTGCAATTCATTGGGTCACAAGGAGTTGGACCCAACTTAGCTACTTAAAAACAACAACAACAACAAATATTACGAATTAAGTTTCAAAGGATATGGGTGTAGGAAACACACAAAGGTGCACTAGAGCATATCTCCAGGCACTCCAAATAGGACTTCTTTGATAGATACAGTGGCACCAGCCAAACTGGACTGGCATGGACAAAATTGGATATAAACAGTGAGGCTTCTGGGAGGCTACTAGGTAGGAAAGACTTGCAATGAAAATGCTAGTAAAATGAACTGTGTGTATTTCCAGAATTACTTTGGAGGATTATGATCTTGTTGGCTACACTAAGCTCCCTAACAACTCTACACTCAACAGATAGCTGTTTATTTAGTAAATATTTGAGGGCATACTGCACACACACTAGTAAGGAGTAATGAATGACTTTTACATGATTTTGAATCTCAACGCCACTATTTACTAGCTGTGTGAATTAATTTCTCCACATTTCTGCTTCTTCACCAATAAAAATATAACCATCCCTCATAGAACTGTTGTGAAGATTAAATGACCTAATATATGTCAAGTGTCTAATATTTTACCCTGTATAATAAACTTTTGATATATGCAGCAGTTAACATCATTATGATTATTCCTTTGGCACTATATTCTGAATGATCCATCCCATTTGATAATCCATCAAAATGAATAACAATCTAATAGTTCAGTAAGGGCTATGGTACAACAGAACTCTTTAGAACTATTTTAGCCAGGGATAAACAGATGGCTTGCTGGATTGATTAGCTTGATGAGCAAGAATGGCTGTAAGAAGGGAAAATGTCAAGATAAACTTTGATAAGAAAAGTTGAAATCTTCTTTTTCTTGTACAAGAAGGAAATTAGGGAAGGATCTGTCACATAAAGAGAAGGCAATGGCAACCCACTCCAGTACTCTTGCCTGGAAAATCCCATGGACAGAGGAGCCTGGTAGGCTATAAGTCCATGGGGTCACTAAGAGTCGGACATGACTGAGCGACTTCACTTTCACTTTTCACTTTCATGCATTGGAGAAGAAAATGGCAACCCACTCCAGTGTTCTTGCCTGGAGAATCCCAGGGATGGGGAGCCTGGTCGGCTGCCGTCTATGGGGTCGCACAGTCGGACACGACTGAAATGTCTTAGCAGCAGCAGCTGTCAAATAAAGCTGTCAGAAATTGGAACTTCTTTTCTTTTTTCCTAAAGAAGTCCACAGAGAGATAGCACTTTGCATACAGAGAGAGATGGTTAGATAGCTTCACCAACTCAATGGGCATGAATGTGAGCAAACTCCAGGAGATACCAGAGGACAGAGAACCCTGGCATGCTGCAGTCCCTGGAGTTGCGAAGAGTTGGACATGACTTGGTGACTGATCAACGCTACTTAGTACTAGATACAAGTGTTGGTTTTTAAGTCAGCATCCTGAATTGTACTTTTTGTTATATTTTATTACTTATTGAGTGTGGGGAAAATTATTTCCCAAACTGAAGAACCCAAAATTTAAGAACTGAGAAATGACTATAGAGAAACATTTTACTAACACTAAAGACACACTAAGTAAGCCAAAATCTAAGGAGCATCTGATAACTCAGTCTGGGCATGGTTCATAGCTTTTAATGGTACTTTGCAAAAAGAAGTATAACACTTCTTCCTGCACTGGGCACCCTGCCAGACTGTTGAGAGCATCTGTACGTTTACATGTAGGACTAAATCAAGAAGCCCCTCCCAGAAGCTGGAGGGTAGTAAGGTGCCACTGTGTTCTTAGGTTCTTGGAAGCTGATCCTTTGTCCAAGGACCTCTGTGTGGTCCAGATTATCCACAGGAAGTCTGAATGGGTCCTGGAGCCACAGTCAATCTTTAAAAGACAGTTCAAGTCAGTGTTTATTAATGGGTTGGGAAAAAATACTTGTATCTCACAGAGCCTGCTCAAGGCCCTCTTCACACTGATTCTATATCTTTAGAGAAGACAGAAAGTTATTTTTAAATTGGACCTTGAGATGGAAGACACTCTGGCAGGCCTTGCTGTTCCATTTAGCTGTGCCCTTTTGATGAGAAAATTGTCATCCCCTCCGACCAAAAAGTTAAAATTGTGTCTCCAGTGAAATGAGGAGCAAATTGATTTTTTTATAATTCTATTAAATTTCAAATTATTTATCATCCAATAGGACACATTGGCTTCATATTTGATTTTGGGATCTAAGCTTTCTCATAATCTAATTTTTAATGATTAGAAGGAAAAGTCCATAGTCTTTCTCAAAACATCCACACAGTTATGCAAGAAAGTATAATAAGGCTGTCTGATTTGTTTA